CAGCTACAAGCATTTCACCCCCATGTCATACTGTGTATGGTTGTGTGTGTGTGACAAATAAAATTTGAATTTGAATTTAAAATACATCAAATGCACTAAATATACACGTTTCATAGGTTCTTACTTTGTTTAGCTCAAACAAATGGAAAATATCAGTTACATAAAACAAGTGAATGTAGATCTTATGTACTGTATAGCCTGTATAATAAATAAACATAGCCCAATAAGTACAAAATTCAGAAATCTACACAACATGAGGTGGTTTAGTTAAATTAGAAATAACCACGTGGTTGCAAGGTTACATTTACACAAAATCTGCACATCATGAAAAGATTTTTCACCTGAAATTTAAACCTAATTTGTCATAATTTATTGAGGGCCAGGGTATAACTGGCTACTTTTCATTTTACCTTTGTATTTCACCTTTAAAAATGGTTTATCTTGTCTTGTGTGGTATATTTTATTTCAGTACAGTCTGAATTTACAGTTATTTTTCATTGGCACACTGTCGTAGTATAGTATTGGCACAATAATCTAAAATCACACAAAAAACACAAAATCTGAGTAGAAGAAAGTTGTATTTTGTTACTGTAAAAACCACAAACATGTTTAGTGAAAACTGTGAATTTTAAAATCTGCACAATTTTTGCATACAATAAAGTTATAAACAACTGTTTTTCTAAAGATGCAGCCGATGCCTCGGGTGTTTTTTGCACAACTATTTGAGCCTGCTACTAAAACTAAAATTACACAACAATCAGGTGTCACAATAAGATGCCACACAAATTATTTGTGCCACTCCAAAAAAATAGTTTCTGTCCACCACAACACAGAGGAGCACATCACACTCCTGAAACCTGCAGGTATGACAACAGGAAGTGCATCACTCCTCCTGTTTTCCACCTGCAGACAGCGTTTACACTGCAATCTGCCTTTGGTGACTTTTTGGCAGCAACTGTGGCGTCCAGCAGTGACACAAAACAATGACTACAGTATACACTAACTGTACACTCCAAACACGCTAAATGTCACAAATCTCAAAACACACTGTTGATGTCTCCTCTTTCTCGCTCACTTGCTCTCACCATCGTCACTCTCTCACCTTCCCAAGGTCGACATGGTACATTTTCCCACCAATAGGAAAGTAGTGACGTTTTGTTGTTATTGTTCATGTTGTTGTTTTGTGCTGTCCTTAGAAAATGCAGTTTTTACAATTTCTTCTTGCACAAAACGTGATGATAGTATTCAGAAAAAATTTTCTATATATATTTATATTTTTAAACATAACTCTGTTTTTACATGGCGTATTAACACAATTTAAAAACTACTATATAGTTTGAAGTCTGAACTGTCAAAGGAAATTGAAATGACGACTCCGTCAGTCTGCATCTTAAATTGGTCATGTGATTTGGAGGCGATGACGTGAGACCCCACAGGGTTAATACCGCACACCTTCATTCCCTTTCTACAGTGTTGAAATCTAAAATCTCATCGTAATAAACAACACTGTCATGTGCAAAACTACAATGGCACAAGGATGACAAGAGGTTAGTTGCCACCGCAGTAGATCCGCCCCTGAATACAACTAAAAACGTGAAATGTTGATTTGTATTTATTTATTTATTGTGATGGATATGTCACTATTGCTGTTATTGTCAGGTTATTGTAGGTTATCAATTGGATAGGAAGGAGTTGTGTGAACTTTTTCGTCCATTATATTCGTTGTTGTGACTGTGTCCTGTCTGCATTGTGACTGTTGTCTTATTTCACAGAAAACCAGATTAGCACAGATGAACATTTGACTGTATTGTTTCCAGGTGTCGAGCCTCTCCTGAGGAAGAACCGATTCTTTCTTCCTGCCATCCAGCAGCCATGGACTCCCTCCCAGAGTATTCTCTGTTCCTGGTTCGGATCCTGGAAGAGTTGGACACCAAGCACACCACCGTGTCCTACCAGGACCTGTGCAAGTCTCTGTGTGCTCGCTTTGACTTGGTGCACTTGGCCAAGCTGCGCAGTCTGCTCTTCCACACGGCCTGCCTGGACCCTGCCTTCCCAGCCACCCTCTTCAAGGACAAGATGCGCTGTTCCACTGAGGACCCGCTGTCCAAAAAGCTCATGGTTGCAGCGGACATTGTCACCATGTTCAATCTGATCCACATGAATGGAGGAATAGCCAAAGATAAGCTTCCTATAGTTCAGAGAGCCACGTTTCACAAGAGTCAGTCCGTGGAGTTCTGCAGGTCTGACAGTGATCACCTGAAGTATCAGGACTGCGACAGGGGGGTCGGTTATGAGCACATGGATCACCCCAGGGAAGGGCGCCATCACCACCACTCTCAACAGCATCCTGTGGCTCAGAACGCCCCTCCCTGTGCTACTTCCTCTGATTGCAACAGCCGGCAGCGCTTTCTCGTCTCCTCAGGACCAAACTTCCTCCTGGGCATGAGGAAAGACATGAAATGTAGAGCAGGCTCTCTGGACAAGCTGCATCATCTGCCTCAGTACTCCAGCAGCAGTCCACCATCACCACCTTGTGAAATGCAGAGCACCTACTTTCCTATGGACATAGACACTGAGTCCACCACTGACCAGGAGTCCCTGCAGAACATGGGACATCCAGAGCCCTTCTCTCTTCACTCTTGCATCCAGAAGAGAAACGATTTTAAGAAGGATTCTCACAATTTTGTGGCTTTTTCACCACAGGTTTGTGTTTTTGGGGTGCTGTTGAAAGGAATTACTGAGAGAGATGTCTATAGGGAGACGGCCAGGTGACGTGATGGTACACAAGTTTAGTAAACGAAATGGAAATTTGAGTTTCATTTGAATTGAATAGTCTATTGGAGATTCACAATTTAAATATACTAAATTATACCCTAACCCGTGTTTGTATACACACAAAAATGCACACAAACACATAAACACATATGTAAAACAAACTTTAAAACATTTTTAAAAATTTGAAGGCAATGTTATGGGCATTTTATTTATGTCCTCTGAAATGCAGTGATGAAAAAAAA